TATTTCAGTAAGATTATGGATTCTTTTTTCACCTACAAAAGTAAAGATTCTAATGCAGTGACCATCATTGACATTTTAAAAAATTTACTCCACTGAAATTTAGTGATATGAAAATGATGCTCCCATATAATGTAACATCATAAAGCAAACTTTGCAGCTTAGCAAATGGAAATGAAGCACTTAACCTTTGACAGCCAACATAGCTCACAGCGTGTGGCAAATAAATGTAAACCATTGTGTGCCAAAATTAAGACAGATGTCCATTTCAAAGAAAATGGATATAGTAAAATTATATATTGGATTTTCTTCACACCACTGATTGCTAACGCCTCTTTTTCATTACAATAGTTAAACTGACAGTACAACAGAATAAAAACTGAAAGAGCTGCAGATTCTGTAAATCAGGAACAAAAACAGAAGTTGCTGGAATAGCTCAGCAGGTCTGGCAGCATCTGTGAAGAAAAATCAGAATTAACATTTCAGGTCCAGTGACCCTTCCTCAGAACTCAAGAACAGTTCTGAGGAAGGCTTACTGGACCGGAAATGTTAACTCTGACTTTCCTTCACAGATGCTGCTAGACCTGCTGAGCTTTTCCAGCAACTTCTGTTTTTGCTCCTGACAGTATAACAGATTTTCCTCAAAAACAAGGGATACCAGACAATGAAAAAGTACCTCAACTAAGATTACCAGCAGCTTCAGGCAATCCTTTCTTCATTCTGTAAACAATGTCTCACTTAGCTGGTGAAACATTTATCCATTTAAAACCGCCACAAGCCAACATTTAATAATTGAAAAAATGGTAACATTGTGGCAATCTCACTGGGCTAGTGATCTGGAGGCCCAGACTAATGCTCTGGGCATATAGTTTCAAATCCCACCACAGCAGGTGGTGGAATTTAAATTCAATTCATACAATGTGAAATTGAAAGCTAGTTTCCATAATGATGACCACAAAACCCATCTAGTTCATAACTGCTCTTTTAAGGAAGGGAATTAGCATACAACTCCCCTCTGAGATGATCCAGCAAATCACTCAGCTCAACGACAGTTAGGGATGGGCATTAATTGTTGATCTTACTAGTGGTGCCCACATCCCATTAAAGAATAAGTGAAAAAAAGTATTTCATTGATTATTACAGTTATCTCTCAGACCCAGGAGAGATGGGTCTCTCTCTCTCTCGTGGCCTACGAATTGAAGTGAAAGATGAGATTTGTGCTAAAATATTCAGCCATGCATAAATATTAGATTATACAAAACTGCCAAGATTCCACATGATATATGGTAACACCACCACCTGCAAATACCCCTCCAGGTTACTCACATTCCTGACTTGGAAACATATCATCATCCCATCACTGCCATTGGGTCAAAATCCTGGAACTCCCTCCCTAACAGCATTATATGTGTAAGGTATGAGAGTCTATGAGTGGGTATGAGGAGCACAGGGAACAAGAGGAGGAGAAGTAATGGAAGAATGAGAGTTTGCGAGTCTGACAGTCACCAAAACACCAATTCACAAAAGTCTGCCTCCCTGGAACAAAAGCAAGGTTGGCAGGCGCTTTATAAATGAGATGGGTTTACCTAGTCTGGAAGTTTCCCTACTGCAACTTCCCACATCTATGTGAAAATCAGGCCCTTTGCTGCTACTTATAATGCTAGGGGTCCTTTATGCTATTCTATACGGCTTTATCAATTCTCCTGCCACCTATGAGATTCATGTATGCCAAGCTCTAGGTCTGTCTGCTCCTACACACCATCCCTCAAAGAATAGCTGTTAGTTTTTGTTGCCTCTTCTCATTCTTCCTCCTAAAATATGTCACTTCACAGTTTTCTGCATTAAATTTCATTCTCCATGTGTTTGCCCTTTTTACCGGTCTCCCTCTGCTACCTGAGATTTGTTCCAATCCTCCTTCCTGTTGATTACATTTCCCAGTTTTGCTGACTGCATTAGGTATCCATTTACACAGTTTATGCCTCTACTATGAGAGAATCAAATTCAAATCTGCAAAATAGAGACCTTAGCACTTGTGCTTAGCATGTTCATACTTTTGCCATGCTTCCAGCTCATTCTATGATAGAACAGCAGCTGATATACCATCCACACATGTATCAGAATCGGTAAATACATAATATTTCAGTTTCATTCCCCACTGCATGTGATGATAAACTTGCACTGGAGCTCACATACATTGTCTAAATTATCCAACCTCAGAACATAGCACAAATTTACCAGTGATCAGTACAACCAGGGACAGAATCCTACAGAAGCCTGATTGATGTGAGCTATGGCGGGAAATGTGGCAGGACTGAGTGAGACAGCAAATGAGGCCTATTCTGATGTTGGGGACACATTGCTGCATCTTTTAACTAAGATCTAGGGCATCAAGACTCTTGCTAGGCAGCAGCAAGTTACAAATTGAGAGGGATTATTTCTCATTGACAGCCTTATTAACTGCACATTTCACATTATTAATGTGCAGTTTTCTATCATACCATCTGCCATGAGCAAATTACAGGCTGGGAAATCTTGGCATGAAAGTTGGGAGCAGGTACCTGCCAATTAAAGCTCACCACTTGATCATCCAAAGAACCTCCATATTGGACACATAGCATCAACATTTCTAGCCATACTTCATGGAACTGACCACACGCTGTGAACAACCAGCGACATTGGCATCTGCAATGTAGCAGCCTCCAAGTCCCTTTGTGGTACTTTGACACTTCCAGGATGCTCTTGCACATCAATGCTGCACCTTCCCCACCAGCTACCATTGTAATGTAGCTGCAAGGACACTATGCACTCAGGGACACACTGTGCGCAGGGATGGGACCCGGCTGCATCTCCAGGCTCTTTGCTCGCTGTCATAGGCCTCACTCTGAGCCTACCTGGATGGCTTTTTTTCCTTTATTCATTCACGGGATGAGGGTGTCACTGGCCAGGCAGCATTTATTGCCCATCCCTAATTGCCCAGAGGGCAGTTAAGACTCAAACACATCGCTGTGGGTCTGGAGTCAGACTAGGTAAGGATGGCACTTTCCTTCCCTAAAGGACATTAGTGAACCAGATGGGTTTTTCCAACAATTGGCAATGGATTCACGGTCATCATTAGACTCTTAATTCCAGATATTTATTGAATTCAAATTCCACCATCTGCCGTGGCAGGATTCAAACCTGGGTCCCCAGAATGTTATCTGGGATCTCTGGATAAACAGTCCAGCAATAATACGACTAGGTCATCACCTCCCCAATGTCCTTGCAGCATCCTTGCCTTGCATCTCAGCTGGAGAAACCAGACCCACACTATAGCTCTCGTGTCAGGCTGTTTAGCACAGACACAAAGCCAGGAAGTCATGGTCAGGACCAAGACTCAGACAAGCCTTCAGACAGAATAATATGTCAAGAGCAGCTTTTGATACCAGTACAGGGGCTTGTACATGGTCAGTAAGCTGCTCAGGGCAATTAGAGTCAGGATGCTGTCCACATAAGGAGTGAGGAGCTGAATATTGGGCAGCCCACAATCCACCTTGAGTCTTTCTGCTCTGTTGTGGCATGTTTTCCTCCTGGAATGAGAGAGAGGCAGGTGTAGGTAGAGGAGATGTCCCAAACAAGTGAATGGGCAGGGCAGAGAGCATGCAAGGTCAGTGGTGTCAGGGGTTGAGGTGAGTGACAGTGAGTGAGGCAAGATGTTATGGCTAATAATGAGAGTGGTAACAGGAGGTGGGCAGGATAATGGAGTTAGAGTGAGTGTGAGGTATTGCAAAGAAGATGGTGGCACTTGCACTGGTGGATTGGGGAAGGTCATTAGTGTTCTTCCTGCATTGCTGTGCATTCCTCCATACAGCTTTGCCTGCACTGGCCCAGGTGGCAACATCAGACCAGGCTCACATGGCTTAGCTTTGTGATCTCCTCTGCTGGTTCTGGGGTTACAGGACATCCTGCCTCTGCACCACCAGAACCTCCAGGTCCCACCTCACAAAGCAGGGTGCCAATCTTTCCTTGTCTGCCATGTCCAGGGCAAATATCAGGATCTGCACAGGACAGCTTCAGACTGACCGTACTTGTTCAAGAGTGAAACAGGCTTTTAAAGATGTCACAAGGCCTGATAGTCCATTGAGGGATATCTTGGTACTGGCAAGTTGTCCACGGTACGGCGTAAGTCATTAATGATGCCAGTTTTGTAGGATGTAGTGAGAAACCAGTTGATGCCATGAAAGGCAGGAGAGGGGGAGGCTTCAGAAGCAATGAGTTGAATTGCATTTATGCCCACTCCACTTTGCTGCACCTGTCAACAAGAGACTCACACTACATGATCAAGGGAAACCTGACACTTACAGGACAGCCTTTGAGAGCCACAGGAGACATGTACGAGTCCTGGTAAATTCCTGTCCCACCAGTGAATTACAATGGACTCACCAATAATTGCCTTTGAATTTATCTTTTGTGAGCCTAATTGACATTCCACTCTCAGTAGGCAGGGTTCCCATATCAAGCTTTCCCAATCTACAAACTGACTAGGGCCAGATTTCCTGCTGCCAGGAATCAGTAGGAGAGTATTCCCGTCCTAATTTGACCACCCCCAATCATCATGTCCATTCTCATCATGTCCATTCTGGCCAAGGTTTCATCCTGTATGCATTTATCAGATAAAACAGTCAGATGAAGCCAATGGAAACAAATGAAACAGTGTATAAAAGAGAAGGCCAGCTTACCCTCCAATGCAGTTTTCTGTCAGGTGCCAAAAGTGATAATTTACCATGAAATTTAAAATGTTACATTACAATTCATTACAATAGGACAAAATGGACAAAAGTTGAATCACATCTGTCGAACACACTTTGCCAAGCTAAAAACTACAGAAGATTTCTTAAGATTAGCCTTTGCCAAAGATTTTTTGTTTAGTTGCAAATGTGCCATTCATTGTGATCAAACAAAACAGCAAAAGGATCAACTTTGAGTCCTGTTCATGCCCAAACTTTATTTGAAGCATCATCCCTTTAGATACAGGTCACAGAAAAGATAATAAATCCACAAGAAGACAGAATGTATGTAACTGGGTAAAACAGGTTGATAACACAATGAAACCTTGACTGCAGTTAACAAGGGTCCTTTCATTTTCAGATTCGAATCTTATAATATTTTCAGAACCTTGCTGTAATGTCACAAAGAGCTCTGAAATTAAAGAGGTCAATAGGGAGATGAATTTGTAAGTTACATACTTGATTCTCAGAGAGAGACACAACAGCAAAAGCTGGAATGTGAATTGCATTAGCTCCATTGTGTTATACTCCTCTGCGCTTTAACATACATTTTCATACTATTTAACATGCTGCCTTAACCACAATAATCACAAAAGAGCTACCTGAATGAATTGGATTTTGTGGAAGGCAAAATAAAGATAAAAGATATCACAACAAGGCAATAACATTTCAGTTTCTCCAATTTTGTACCTTAAGCAAAAGTTATTTGTGCGCACAGAGAAAAAAAACACATTTTGATAGAAAAAAATTGGAAAGTTTCTAGATATGAAGAATGTTTGACATTAGCAAATAAGTCTGTATTCAGAACTAGGGATATTACGTGATAAAATACAGCTTCGATGTGAAAGCCTCAAAAAAATTAAAAGACAGTAGAAGCATTTACATAGTGCCTTTCACAACCTCGGGGCACCCCAATGTGCTTCACAGACACTGAAGTACTTTTAAAGTGTAATCATTGTAGTTAATAGTAAAGGTGTTAATTGTATAGTTGCAAAGTGACTATTCAATTTGATTGTTTAATTTGTTTGTATTGCAAATTGATCAGATATTTGTTTTTGCCATTTAATGATTAAAATATTACTTTTTAACTACTTTTCAGATGGTTTTTCACCATGGAAATAAAATTCAACCCATTGTGGAAAAAAAAAGAAAATTCAGAGCAGTTATCTGCAGTTCTGATGAATTGTTACATTTTGAAATGCCTTTCTTTTTTAGATGCCAATTAACTTGCTACGCACTTCCAGCACTTTTGTTTTTATTTCAAGTTTACATCTGCTAATATTTTATGATGAAGCAGAATGCATTATTCATAATTTCACTACTGATGTTTTGAATGTTATTACATAACATATCTTTAGCCGCTCAGAACAAGTTAATCTTTCTCATATCCGTGTTTGCACGTAACCAATTTTGAATAGTCATTGTTTTGATATAAATCTTCTTTTCACCATTATAAACACCAGAACACACATAACTACCTAAAGCACTTGTACTAAAAACAACAGGTTTTGCAGACAAATAGTTACTTTTGCACATATAATGATGTACACAATTAGGAACAGTAATTAAAAAGCCTTAAAGTAACTTTGGTACCAAAGGACAGTAATCCTGCTGACTACTGGTTACTGATTTCAAAGTGAGCAGGTCCTAGTCCTTCCAATCTTTCTTTATATTGAGCTTCCACTCCCAGTGCAGGTGGTCACTTTTGTCATCATCTGTGATATGGGACTTCATGGTGTACATGCCCCTCACCATTATTCCTTTGGGTGCTTCTTCAATTGGACTTATAAACTCGTACTCATCTGCTCTAGGGCCATAGCTGCCAACCATATAGGTGTCCTTACTCGCTGTTTGGAATAAAGAATGAGAACAATTAAAAGATTTAGAAAGTAAAACTTGCAACCACTTAACCAAATCAAACAATCCCTTAGTAACAATCCCTTCAGAACATGCTGCTGTAACTACTTGACTGAAAGCATTTCTGACTAACAATGGTACAGGAAAGTTATAATGAGTTACATGGCTGCCTTCAGGGCTTTTTTTTAGTGAATATAATTTTCAAGTAACTGGATGTGAATTACTTCCACATCACTTGCAGAGGCTAGAATTATAATGTATGCAAATAAAATCACTGTATGGAAACATAAGGTGTTTTTGTTCCAAGCGAGTTATTGCCCATGAAAAATATCATCAATAAGCGAAGAATAAGCACTTGCTCTTAATATTAATCATGGTTAACAAGAACCACCAATTTGTTACGGGAAGTATCTATCCTGAGATCATTCACTGAAGGGTCTGAGCTTGTGATGGGAAAACTATGTTGCACTCCCATTAATCCTGTGAAAAGCATCCTAACTACTTCATGTAAAACAAAAAGTAGGCATGACAGTGCAATAAACCTATCAAGAACAGTGAAAAACTCTATTTCTTCTCTGGGTGGCAGAAATACCAAGGTAAAATTTGAACCTGTAATAGCCCAAATCTCAATACAGAAGCAGTTCCAAGTACAGTACATGAATATATGGCATAGGCAAACTGGTCTATCTCCCCCCTACCTTGGAAGAAAGATATGTATGACTTCATAAGTTTTAGACTAACAATTTAAGATATTATAATTTCATACCATATCATGCAACTCACCCTGCAAACGGCCCTTGCATGTAAAATGGACATACTTTAAGCCTGAAACAATTTCTCTGTTAACCTAAAAGATAAATCAATAATTCATTTGAATCTTAAGTTTCAACATTATCAGTGCATTAAAACTGATTACAATTTACAACAATGTCTTAAGCTCAATGCAGTTATACAGTTACGTTCATAATATGGCTGTGGTTCAATATCAACCGATCTCTCTTTGAATTCTCCATAGACTTGCACCTCCATGTGTCACCACTCACATCCTGTGGTAAGCTATTTTGCTTCCATTCGCCTAGAGTGATTTGGCTGAAATTGTGCACGCTAAGTCCAAGATGGATACAAAACATGTGCCACCCATTCACAAAGGAGTTTAAAAACCATTGCTGTAAAATGTTTGGTATGCCAGAACATGGTCCTTAAGCAAAGCATATCTGGGATTGTAGCCTTTGTCAAAGAATTAGTAATGTTGCTTTCATGAAATCTAACATAGAAATCACAGTATAAAGAGAACTTCTCAAGAAAACTAACAACTTTTACATTATACATCATATGGACAAACATGCATTAGTACAAACATAAAATAACATAGTGAATAATGGAGGAAAGAATGAGTTGACTAGGTATATGAATTTGTTAAATGTATCAAATGCAAAAACATACTTTTCATAGAAATGTACTCCCAAGGTTTTATAGAATATATGTACTGTTGAGATAATGTTCTTATCCAAAATATTCAAGCTCTGAAGTAATGTCAGAACCATTGACATGAAATCAGTTTTCAGAAATAACACAATAAAGGCAACAATGAATCAGTCCGTTTTATTCCATGTAGAAAGCCAATTTCAAAGACATTAATCTTTTGCTGGAGTGATCAGTAAGCATCAAGCACAAGTACAAATAGGTTGATATTCAGCACCAAGTGACACAAAATTGAATGAAATAATAAAGGCCATACATAAAATAAAGACCAAATACTCTAAGGATTAAAATACCAGGAAACAATATTAATGCAGTAAAGTAATCAATGTTCAAATGACTAGTACAGAGCCATCATTACATTGCTGTACTGTAATTGTAATTCTATGAGAGGAAGGCGTTAAATACACTGTAAACCAGTTCAATATAGCATAATGCACAGGATGTCATTAAAACATCTCTTACTTTAAAGTTAATTTTCAATCTGTATTCTGCACCTTCCTTCAACACAAGGGTCTTCTTCTTTAGAGCTGCCAGGTCACCTGCAAAACAAATTGTATGACAGACCAGCTCATAATTTATTCCTTTTAATGGGGGAAATAGTCAATATTAAACAGGACAATGCACATTATAAGGAAATAATAATAAACATGGAAAGCGGTCATATAATTGGTTCTTTTTGTTTCTCACCATCTGCTGATAAGGCATTTAGCTTCCATTTGTCCAGACTGATGTGACTGAAATCAAGAGTTTATGCGCAGGCTGAGTACAAGATGGACAGAAATATGTGCTACCCTCTCAAGTCCCTGGCAAATGAATTTCAACTCAGATAAGGGTGAGATGTTAGACACTGGTAAGAAAACAAGGAGGTCTCTTAATAATCTTATTAGTTAGAAAATACAAACCTGAAAGAGATGGAAGAGAAAAGGATTGTGGAGAAAAAAATGCAAACAAATCATGTATTTAGTGATGCAGGCAAATAAGGTTGTAAAAGAAACAAAGTACCAGGGCTTTATAGTGGGATAGAATTGAAAATTTATGCTTAATACTTGGTAGACCTCAGTTTGGGCACTGTACACAATTCTGACCATTGTATAAGAGAAAGGGTATAAGATGTACTGAAAAGGGTAGGAAAAAATTAAAAGAATGCTACCAGAAATGTAACGTTATATGTTTCAGGAAAGGATGTACAGGCTACATCTTCATTCTCTTGAAAAGCCAAGTCTGTCGGATAACCTAGTGAAGGTCTTTAAAATTATCAAAGAATTTGCCACAGTCCATTAAGGTGGCTGAATAGGTATGTTCAGATCATGGTTAAAATGCAAGAAACTTTAAAAAGGAACTTAATACAGCTCAAACTTTAATTTATACTTTTAATGGTGATGAGATGTGGGGTGAGTAACCAATCTGTTCATGGGAAGTGAGTTGGTTATTTAAATATTATAATGAGGCTACCTTAACAGTTATGCTATTTTTAACTGTGTCCAATCAGATTTCTTTAAACCTTGGGAAATTTGGTAGTTTAAATGAGGTTAGAAGGGCTGCATGTGCCAGACATCTTTATGGCTCAACTTGTGTATCAGAAGGAGCAGGAATATTTCCATCAGGTGTAACAAGCTACTCAGCAAACACACCCCCATGATCGGTCTGCCAGCTCAGTCACCCTTGGACTCCAAATAATGCTGCCTGCCCAAACCCTGGTGCGATCAGACACTAATCCATGTACTATGATTAGGACATCCACCCAGGATCTCTCTCTGTCTCTTCCAATATTTTCTTGTACCCCTCAACCCTGTGAAACAAGATTCTTTTTCCAAAAATTTTCCAGCCTGTCTTTAGAATCTGACTTAAAGGCACCCTTAAAGGCAGTTCTCACAAATATGAAATTTCTAAGGTAGTTGTGCAGTTTGACATAGTCCCTTTAATTTAAGGTAAAATGCAGAGATGTAAGGGATCATATGATCTACTCTGAATTCTATGCGCAACAAGCTTTTACATCATAACAAGTTATGGAAACAAGAAGAACCCAAGTCACGAGACTTACTGAGAAGGTGCAAGATATTCACGCCTTTGTAAAATGACAAAAGCATCTGTGCTAACTTTGCTCAGAGACTGTTACTGTAAATTGTCTATTTAATTCCAAGCTAGAATAGAGTTGAAAGTCTAAAGGATAGCTAGTTAACATTTCTACCTGGATGCAGGGTCCATGTCATTTGTTCTATAGTAAAATTGAACTTTGATAATGGAATATTTCATAGCAAGCCACTGTAAAATTGAAGTATATAGTTTCCAAAGCTAACACTGCACCACACAAACCCAAATGAGTCTGAAATAATCTATACGAGAGATAGCAGGAAATAAAGGCAGTGGATCTGCATCTGCAGCAGAGAAACTACTGATTCTGTTGTTCATCAATTAGAACCCTGGGTGGGATTTCTGGTGTAACCCTCACAGTAAAAGTCAGTTCTAGATTAGAAATTACTGGACAGGGAAAGGAAAATGGAAACTGATCATTGGAATCGGAGTATAGTTATGGATCAGTTTAGGGGCAACAGAGTGTCCACTTAATGGACAGCATTTTTAAAATTATTCATCTCTACAAGGATTCAGACAAGTCAACTGCTGCTTAGCATTCAGGAGACTCATTCTTCCTGGTTTTCCTGAACTCACAATATTAAAATGCATGGAATAGGAACAAAAGTAAGACATTCAACTCTTCAATGTTGCTCCACCATTCAATTAGATCACAGTTGATGAATTCTTTAGTATTTATTGAAAACTTCTAATCTCTGGTTTGAATATGCTCAGTGACTAAGCCTCTATAGCCTTCTGTGGTGGACAATTCCAAACATTCACCACACTCTGAGCCACCGTCATCTTAGTCCTAAATGTTTGTCCCATATACTGAGACCATGTCTCCTAGTTCTAGAGCCCTCCCCCAAACCCAGAGAAATATCCTTCTTGCCTCTACTCTATCAAGCCCTGTAAAATAAATTGTATCTCAATGAGATTACCGCTCATTGTTCTAAACCCTAGAAAACACAGGCCCAGTCTCCTTATTGTCTCCTAATTAGACAATTCTGCTATTGCAGAAATTGATCTCATTGCACTCTTATATGGCAAATATACTGTATCCTTCCTTAGGTAAGGGAATCAAATCTGCATACAATACCCCAGGTGCCACTAAGGCTGTGTGCAATTGTGACAAAACATCTTTACTCCCTGTATGCAAATCGTCCCGTGATAAATGTTAGTGTACCTGTGTCTTCCAAACTGCTTAATATACCTGGATATTTGGTTTCACTGACTCATGAACAAGAACATCCAGGTCCACTTTGACATCAACTCTTTCCAATCTCTGACCATTTGAGAAATGTTCTGCAATTCTGTTTTTCCCATTTTTCCACATTATATTCCATCACCTATGTTCTTGCCCACTCACTTAGGCTGTCCAACTCCCATGAAGTCACTTTGCATTACTGTATCAATTCATTTTTGCACCCAATTTTGTATCATCAGCTAACCAGAAATATTATATTTGATCTACACATCTAAGTCATTGATACAGATTATGAACAGCACAGCCCTGTGCAGTGTACATCTCCCAAATTTAGGGCAGAGTTTCCATTTTGTAGAAGAGTAAAACAAAAAGCCAATGATGTAAGAATCACCAAGAAGTCAGCGAGAATTCAGAAGAAACTCCTTAATTGAGAGAGCGGTGGGAATGTGGAACTCGCTACCACAACTGAGATTAATAGTGCAGATGCATTGTAAAAACAGAAATTGCTGGAAAAACTCAACAGTTTTGGCAGCATCTGACAAGATAAAACAGAGTTAATATTTCAAGTCCAGTAAGCCTTCTTCAGAACTGAAGACGCAGATGCACTTATTGCAAGGGTGGATATGCATTTGAGAGAGAAACAAATGAAGGGTTATACTGGTATAATCAGAGGAGGAAGAACAGGAGGAGTCTCAAATGAAATACCAGAATGGATTGGTTGGGTCAAATGTCTTGTTTCCATATGCTCCATCTAATTCTACATAATGTTATAGTTCATATATCTATCCAAGGCAAGCATCGTAAATACCTTCATACAAATCTTACGTATCATTTTTGAGGTGCATAACTGCTCAATAGATCCACTGGGAGGACTTTCGTCAGCATAATCAGAGACAGAAAACTGCATGGTCATTTACATTCTGGGAAGCTTTACATTTTTAACATCCTGAAACTGATAATTAATAGTTACTTTAGTTCACACCAATTTAGAAGTACAGTAAACTATTCAGAGGGAGAAATGCATAAATTTTTCAATTAATTGTTGCAATAAATTTATTTTTCTTTTCACCAAATCAGTAGTCATTTAAAGAACATGCTAAGATCAGGGAGCTGTGGGGTTGTGGAACTGGTATAACACAAACTCAATCTAGAACAGCAGTTTATAAGAATGCTGTATTAACTCGCTCTCCATCTGTTGCCAAAGTATTTCAAATGAAAATAATGAAAACAATTGTGCACTCCCAGCAGAAAAGGCTCACTGTTTGGGAACACAGGACTTAGCTAGTGTTGCAGTGTTTCCCCAAACATGGCACCCTGTGAGAGTGCTCCTCCTCACTAAAACAGTGAATTACAAAATCATCCCAAGTATTTCATGGGAAAAGAAGAAAATAAATGCAAAAGGCATACACATAATTGAGTGAATATAAATCAGGATATGGCACTGAAATCATGACCAACAATTTATAATAAGACAAATATTTATGTGAGAAAATTATAGGACTATATTCCCTTTTGGGTGCAAACAGTTGAATAACATTACCAGAAATGAAGTTCTCAAATTCGAACTTCTGGTTTGTACATTCTAAATAAATTATTTGTGGAAATTTCAGTGCATCCATTTTCCACAAACTAATTTGTTATTGCCTTTAAGAATACAACAAATGTTTGAAGAGTGAATGATTTTCACAATAGTACCAAAATGTTTGAATATTATATATCCAAGCAAATATGCACTTAATTTCACTGACATTGCCGCAATGAAAGACTTGCAGTAATCCAATGTAAATTTGTAGCTTGGAGAAAAAAATCTACTACAACAGAAGTGTCAGGAGGGATGCAAGTGTTTTAAAACATACACACAGGGTATAGAACTGAGCTCCACAACTTCTCAGTGTCTGGGGAATTCATAGCACTTTAACTGGCCAGAAATCACTTTAGTGAAAGATAAAGATGGGGAAAAGCTAGGAACCGTAGAGGTGAAGAGAGAATTGAAGGTTTGGATACACTGATTATGAACAGGCACAGAAGTCAATCAGAGACCAATGGAATATATATACATATATAGAGTGTTTAGGAGACACGAGAACAGCACTTAGCTAATTCAGTCCGTACTAGCTCTCAATAGAAGAAAACAGTCAGTCCCATTTCCCTGCTGTGTCCTTGTAACTGTGTAAGTTTATTTGCTTCAAGTCCCCATCCAATTTTCTGTTGAAATTATTGCTTATCTTTATTTCCATCACTCTCATGGCAGCAAGTTGCAAT